AAAAAAAAAAAAAAGCTAAGTCTAGTAAAGCCTTTAGATCAAACTCGCATTTTGCAGTAAATACAGGGGTTAGCAAAACAAGTTAAATGACACCATGAAGACCCACTGAGGCCGGGACATTCTACAAGAAAACGGCCTGAACTTCAAAAGGTCAATGTTGGCGGGGGGGGGGGGGGGGGGGGGAGGAGCGGAAATAGAATTGTTCTAAATAAAAGAGAACAAAAAGACACAATAACCAAATGTAATGTGTGCACTTAAAACAGACAAACTTAAAAGACATATTTGAAATGGCTGGGAAAATTTGATTATGGGCTAGATATTAGGTAATATTAGGGAATTAATGTTAGCTTTCTTTTTTTTTTTTTAAAGATTTTATTTATTTATTTGAGACAGAGAGAATGAGAGACAGAGAGCATGAGAGGGAGGAGGGTCAGAGGGAGAAGCAGACTCCCTGCCGAGCAGGGAGCCCAATGCGGGACTCGACCCCGGGACTCCAGGATCATGACCTGAGCTGAAGGCAGTCGCTTAACCAACTGAGCCACCCAGGCGCCCTAATGTTAGCTTTCTTAGGGGTGAATATCCTACCATGGTTGTTAGAGAATGTCCTTAGTTTCAGGAGCTACCTGCCGAAATATATTGAAAAACCTGGGGTCAAAGTGGCATAGCATCTGCAATCCACTTTCAAATGATCCAGAGAAAACAAAAGTCTCATACACCCATTGAAGGGGAGAAAGAAAATATGGCAAATGGAAATGACTGTTGAATCCTAGGTGGTGGGTGAACACTGGAGAATTTTTTCCATTTTTGTGTCTGTTGAAATATTCCTAATAAAAAGCTAGGGGAGAGAATGGCTAAAATTAACAAGTCAGGAAACAACCAATGTTGGTGAGGATGTGGAGAAGGGGGAACCCTCTTACACTGCTGGTGGGAATGCAAGCTGATATAGCCACTCTGGAAAACAGTACAGAGGTTCCTCAAAAAGTTAAAAATAGAGCTACCCTACGACCCAGCAATTGCACTACTAGGTATTTATCCAAAGCATACAAGCACAGTGATTCAAAGGTGTGCATGCACCCCAATGTTTATAACAGCAATGTCCACTATAGCCAAAATACGGAAAGAGCCCAGATGTCCATCGACAGATGAATGGATAGAAGATGTGGTAGGGGTGCCTGGGTTGCTCAGTCTGTTAACTGTCTGCCTTTGGCTCCTGGTCATGGTCACGGGGCCCTGGGATTGAGGTCAGGTGCCCTGGGTCAGGTGCCCTGCTCAGCAGGGAGTCTGCTTCTCCTTCTCCCTCTGACCCCCCGCCTGTTTGTGATCTCTCTCTCTCGTGCAAATGAATAAATAAAAATCTTAAATAAAAATATAAACCTTGAATAAATAAAAATCTTAAAAAACTAAAAATCTTAAAATCTTAAAAAAAAGATGTGGTATATACCTACAATGGAATATTACTCAGCCATCAAAAAGAATGAAACCTTGCCATTTGCAACAATGTGATGGAACTGGAGAGTATTATGCTGAGCAAAATAAGTCAGTCAGAGAAAGACAAATACCATATGATTTCACTCATATTGGAATTAAAGAAAACAGATGAACATAGGGGAAGGGAAGGAAAAATAAAATAAGATAATTGAGGGAGGCAAACTGTAAGAGACACTGAACTCTAGAAAACAAACTGAGGGTTGCTGGTGGGGAGGGGGGTGGGGAGGATGGGGTGACTGGGTGATGGGCATTAAGGAGGGCACTTGATGGAATGAACACTGGGTGTTATATGCAATTGATGAACCATTAAATTCTACCTCTGTAGCTAATAAAAAAATAAATTAAAAAAAAGTTGGGAGAGAAAAGTTCTAGCTGTGAAGTTTAAGCTGTGCGAACTTGGGCAGTCTCCTTGCCTCCCTGGCCTTACTTCCTTCAGCTGAAGAACAGGGTCAAAAATACCCCACACAGGTGCCTGGGTGGCTCAGTCGGTTGAGCGACTGCCTTCGGCTCGGGTCATGATCCTGGAGTCCCAGGATCGAGTCCCCGCATCGGGCTCCCTGCTTGGCAGGGAGTCTGCTTCGCCCTCTGACCCTATCCCCTCTCATGTGTTCTTTCTCTCTCATTCTCTCTCTCTCAAATAAATAAAATCTTTAAAAAAAAAAAAAAATACCCCACACAGTTGTCCGGATTGAAAGCGCCAAGCACCTGGCCCAGGGGCCCAGGGGCAGTCGTCATTAGCGTTAATAGACAGTCCCCAGCAGGGTGTCTGGTAGAGTGAGCAGTGGCTCTGAGAAAATCACTTGAGCCCCCGGGCCGGTTTCTCTGCCCCGGGGGACGAGGATGGGGAAGCGGCCCCTTAGAGGCCACCTCACTTTGCCAGCCGGGGCCGGCAGAGGTGCAGCTGCTAGGGCCCGGCGGCCACGGAAGGGGGCGGGGCTCGCAGGTGGGCGGGCGGGGAGCCCGAGCCCAAAGGAGTGCGGCCTCTCGGGAGCCGGGGGCGGAGCCTCTCCCTGGCCAACCACTCGTGGAGCAGATGTCAAAACGGGCGCCGAGGGGAAACGAGAAAGAACCGCAGATAACCGGGCCGGGCGGCCTCCTGTCCAGCTGATTTGGGCCGCCGGGTCCGGTCGCGCGTCCTTCTCTCTCCGGCCCCCAGGGCTAGAGAGGAGGCTCTGCGGGCCAGAAGCCCCGCTCGGCGGTCTCCCCTGGGAGTGACCTCTGGGCAGAGCCACGTAGCTTTGTGCGCCCGCTTCCTCCTGTGCAGTGAGCGGTAAAAATCCGTAGGAGGCTAGACGGGACATGCCCAAGTGACTCAGAGTTGGGAGGCAGTGAAGGCGAGAATGGCGACCTTTCTTTCTGCCTCGTGGTACCACTCGTCTTCCCAAGTTCTCTACCACGCACATGGGTTATGTGGGGAGTCAGGAAAAAGTTAAGCGGAACGCGAAGTCACAAATTCTGGCTAGCTCACAGAGGAGTACTTTACGGTTCCTGTACACACAGGGTGTCACAGAAGCCAAAAAGCACGTGGTGCCCGAGAGCAACCGGAAGGAGCACTTCGGTTATTGATGATGTGAGATAGGAATGTGAATTGGGCCTTAGAGGGTACCAAGGAATCCTTGATACTTTCCTTAGACGTGACAATGGCTTTATCGGCCATAAAATCATCACTAAAAGTGTCCATTTCCTGGAGCTGGATGCTGAAGGAAGGTGAAACTGACCACGTCTGGGAGCTGCTTTAAAACGAAGGATGCCATGGGCGCCTGGGTGGCTCAGTTGGTTGAGCGACTGCCTTCGGCTCAGGTCATGATCCTGGAGTCCCGGGATCGAGTCCCGCATCGGGCTCCCTGCTCGGCAGGGAGTCTGCTTCTCCCTCTGACCCTCCCCTCTCTTCATGCTCTCTCTATCTCATTCTCTTTCTCAAATAAATAAATAAATAAATAAATAAATAAATAAATAAATAAATAAATAAAATAAAATAAAATAAAATAAAGTGCTTCCAGCGGCGCCTGGGTGGCTCAGTCGGTTGAGCGACTGCCTTCGGCTCAGGTCATGATCCTGGAGTCCCGGGATCGAGTCCCGCATCGGGCTCCCTGCTCGGCAGGGAGTCTGCTTCTCCCTCTGACCCTTCCCCCCTCTCATGCTCTCTGTCTCTCATTCTCTCTCAAATAAATAAATAAAATCTTAAAAAAAAAAAAAGATTCATAAAACGAAGGATGCCAGACCGAAGTTTTAGTCGTTGCTTTGTCTAAGAGAAATGATTGTCAGTAATCTTTCTCTGAGGCTTGAGAATACATTAAACACAGTATGTATGTGGTACTAAGAAATGCAAGAAACAGACTCAAGTGAGGAGGGGATCGTCCCTACCTCCGACCTCTTTATTGTATCCAGAAAAGACTGTAAAAAGCCCAGTGTTTCTCTTAGGGGCGGCCCTAAGAGTGTTTGCAGATGTTGGAACTTTCCCAGGTGAATCATTTATTTCTCGGATTCTAACATTTCTTTCTCTTCATTCCTGGCATTTTGCCACTTTCGGGGCAAATGTCTGTGGCAAATCTGAAAAACCAAACACAAAGTAAAACGAAAAGTGCTAATAAAGTCATGTCTCCCTCACGACAATGCAGGTTTTCAATCTCCTCTTCAGGCTACTTGATGCCCAATAAGCAGTACATGGATTCCCAGTTCTTCAATCTTTCTCAGGATTTTTTTGCTCACTTTCTAATTTTAAAAAATGCTGACACTGGGGACAGTGGCCTGACAGCAGACACAAGTTCAGTGGGAAAATGCACCAAAGCCCCCCCCCTCCCCCGGCATTTACTTAACTCAGCTTTACCACGGACTGCGCATTTTACAAGAACTATCGCATTGATCTCATTTTATTAATAATCCCACAGGGTAGGTCCGGCGACCAGTCCCATTATACCAAGGAGGGCACTGGATCTTTTAGCCTGGTGACACGTCCAAGTGACACAGCAAGTGCACTGCGGGACTCAGTAGCCAGTGGCCCTACCCGTTAGGCAGCACGGTGGTCACCGACCCTCCCACAAATGTGCCGGAACTCGAGGACCCCTAACCCCCCACCCAGGTACACGTATCCAAACGGTCGCAACCCCGCGCTTCTCTCGCAGCCAGGGGCGTTCCCCGGCATTTGCACTAACCTCATTTGCAAAACCACTTGCCCCGACCCGCGAAAACGGTTCAGGGGTGGGGGAATTCTCTCCCGCTCCGGGGCGGCCTCCAATCGCGTTGCTCTATTCAATTCCGAGCGGTTCCCGGATAAGCGAGTCCCCCGCGCGCCACGGCCGCCGAGTCGCGCGGGGACCGCAGCCCTTGCCCGGGGGCCCCGCGGGGGCCCAGGCCGCGGCGCCCCTAGCCCTGTGCGCGGGCCCGGGGGCTCCGGGGGCGTCCCGGGGGGTCCCGAGGGGCAGCCCGGCGGCGGGCGGGCGGCGCTCCCGCGCGGCTCTCGACTCGCGGACGTCCGGCCGGCGCGTCCAATGGGAGGGCGGTGTGTGGCCACGCCCGCTGTGCGCGCCCCTCCGCGGTGGGCTTTTAAAGGCCGGCGGGGCGGCGCGGGGGCTCCCAGGACCTGCGCGCCGCCTCGCCTGCCGTGAGCCCTCGCCGCCGCCATGCTCTCCGTCCGCGTCCCGCTCGCCACCATCGTGGACCCCCAGCAGCAGCAGCAGCTCCAGCTGTCGCCCCTCAAGGGGCTCAGCCTGGCGGACAAGGAGAACACGGTGAGCACGCGCGGGCCGGCCGGGGCGGCGGGGGGCCTGCGGGGCGGGGGCCTGGCCCTCACCGCGCGTCTCTCCGCAGCCCCCGAGTCTCAGCGGGACCCGCGTGCTGGCCAGCAAGACCGCCAGGAGGATCTTCCAGGAGCCCGCCGAGCCGGTGAGTGGCCGGGGCGGCCGGCGGGGAAGCGGCCTGTGGGGCGGGGCGCTGCCGGTAGGGGGCGCTGGCCGCCCTTGGCGCCAACGCCTCATTGTCTCCTCCAGGGTTTCAAACCCTGGCCACTCCCCGGCCCGCGCTTCTTTCCCGCCAAGGCATTCCGTCCCCGTCCTTCACACTTCCGCAGATTTCCTCCTGTTCCTCTGTCACATCCCGGTTCTGTTCTCTGGAGGGTATACATGTGTGACCGCTGACCCACACGCTGAACCACCCGGGATTGCCGGTCACTGAATGCACTAGGCCCGAAAAAATGGCAACTTCATGTGGTTCCCTCTATGATTAGCATTTTCATTCCTTTCTCGCCCAACAGAAAACTAAGGTGCTTGGCCCCAGCGTGGAGGACGAGCCACTACTGAGAGAAAACCCTCGTCGCTTTGTCATCTTCCCTATCGAATACCATGATATTTGGCAGATGTATAAGAAAGCTGAGGCTTCCTTTTGGACAGCTGAAGAGGTAATCAGAGTCAGGAGCTGGAGACTTAAAAGGAAGTTTAAGCATTGCCCCCAGCTTCTAGAAGAAGCCCCCTGCAGTGGTGGTTGTAACTTGCTTGAAATATACTCTTGTTCCTCTTGGGGGTGGTTGGGGATGGTTGCCCACGGAGGATGTGGAATGGGAGGGATGTTCTTGATCAAGTGGTGTCGGTAGACTTAAAAGAAGGTTTAAGAATTATGTGTATGGGGGCGCCTGGGTGGCTCAGTTGGTTAAGCGACTGCCTTCGGCTCAGGTCATGATCCCAGGGTCCTGGGATCGAGTCCCGCATCGGGCTCCCGGCTCAATGGGGAGCCTGCTTCTCCCTCTGACCCTCTCCTCTCTCATGCTGTTTCTCTCTCGCTCACTCTCCAATAAATAAATAAATAAAATCTTAAAAAAAAAAAGAATTATGTGTATGTGTGAGGCCCCGCATGCTTAATGTCCCTTGTGATCGTCTAAACTTCAGGTGGATCTTTCCAAGGACATTCAGCACTGGGAATCCCTGAAGCCTGAGGAGAGATACTTTATATCCCACGTTCTGGCTTTCTTTGCGGCGAGTGATGGCATAGTAAATGAAAACTTGGTGAGTTTCCAAAAAACGTCTGCTTTCGTTCGCTTCAAGATTAAAGAGAAAATCAATTCTCTCTCCTCATCTTTTAGGTTATACTAGTTGTAAGCTAGTAGTTCTGTTACATGATGTTGCCTGTTTTATAATATCCTTTGCAGTTCTTTCTTCCCTACGGTTAATTTTTCCCCCCACTGGCTCTCGAGAGGCTCAAAGACAATGTTAAGTGGTAGTAATCGGTTTACTCCTTGTGGCTATGACATTGCTTTCCTTCTTGTGGTTTTGCTGTTTTAATAACTTGAGTCTATATATGTCTTATAGTGAGTGGATCCTTCGTGCAGTGAATTAGGAAAAAATGAATTGATGAGTGTTCTTAGGATCCCTATAAAATAGACATTATCTATTTCCTGATCTGTAAATTGAGCGCATATGGCATAAAATGCCCAGCTTTACCACAGAATAATGAAGTATTGTTTCTAAAAATAGAAGCAAACCCTATAATGGTACAAAGGGAGTGTGATGTATCCAGGATCCTCTGAGTGGATGCTCCTCAAGCTGAGAGAAAGCTGTGATGTGTTTTACCACTAGGTGGAGCGGTTTAGCCAAGAAGTTCAGATTACAGAAGCCCGCTGTTTCTATGGCTTCCAAATTGCCATGGAAAACATCCATTCTGAGATGTACAGTCTCCTCATTGACACTTACATTAAAGATTCCAAAGAAAGGTGAGTATTTGGGTGGCCTGCCAACATGTTTAGGACTCACTAATTGTTAACGTTATTTCAAGTTTTTGAGTTCACATAGGGGTAGAAGAATGACTTAAGTGACTAAGCAGACAAAGCAGTTTCTACCACCCATGTTCCCGTCTGCTCTGAGGAAGAGGCCTACACTCACTTTATTAGCAAGTCACTTAAAAACTCAAAGTTCTGAGGTTACTCCATTTTTAGAAGTGGAAGTATACCGTTGGTCGTTCAGTCTAATGCCTTTGAAAACAAAACAAAACACATCTGAGGAGGCTGTGTATGATGAACGAAATCCTAGGTCTGACAGTTTGTACTCGTGTGGCCAATCTGTTAACCTACAATGGGAAGCTGGGGCAAAATGGAGGGGATGGAGGGTGCACCCGAGTAGAACGTTACTCTCCTCTTCAAGAGCTCGTAATACAGTACAGAAAATCAGACCTAGAAGTGTGAGTGAGAGGAATTCCATAATAAAGCAGAGGCAGCAGTTTACAGTTAGATGAACTTAGGCACAGGACTGTGTGAAGAGATGGTTTGCATCATGGGATCACAGAGGAGAAACGAAGGTAGCTTCACACCCATTTTACATTTTCAAGATTAGAGAGGAGGAGAACATTAAAAGTGGCTGTCTAAGTGGTCTAGATACTGAGGTCAGCTTCAGGATGAGAGTCTTGCGTGGAACAGAAGTGGTAGGGCTGGAAGGTGGGCTCCTGTGGGTAACCAGGAAGAATGTGATTTGGGAAAATGAGTGGTGGCTTGGAAGGGCTGGCAGGATTGGGGAGACTCTGGGGGGTAGGACGATTTGAACACATTTGTAGGCAGAAATGAGGAAAGATAAAGATAGGCATGACCCGGATAAATAACCAGAAGGGGCAGGATCAGGAAGGTGTGGTGGTTGAGCTTCAAAAGCTAGGGAGAGGCAGACCCTGGTCTCAGGATGTAGACATGGAAAGAGAATGAAGGGAGCCATATGGTCTGATGACCTTGGCTTCAGAGAACAAGGTCGCCTGATAAGGAACAGGCTGGGGAATCTGTAGACTCCCAAGCAGGGCACAGGGTTACATTGGAGGCGGAAGAGGGTAATAAGGAAGACCCAGGTAAGTGGGGGGCCAGTTGATTTGCTTTCCTGATCTGGGACCATCAGTGTAGCATAGAATTAAAGTAGGAAGCAAGCTCAGATTATTCAGTTTATTGGCTTTAATTACTTTATTATATACATATGGCATTTGGGGCCCATACAGTTGACCTGATGGTATAGTCTGGTGAGGAAGGTGCTGTCTAGGAAGATAATGGTCAGTATAACTGAAGTAGTCTTAGCAGTTAAGATTTTATGGCTTCTCAAGTTCAAAGATAGGGCCTGTGAACTTTGTCATGACCTGGGCTTGATATAATTAAGCTGATAAATGCTCTTGGTGTAACGGACTAAGACTTTTAATGTTAGTAGATCTCGGGGATCCCTATGAACTAAAGAATAGGAACCAAGTGAATGTTGAGATTTTAAAAAGAACGCTGGAGGAAAAGCAAAAACAGTAATGAGAAAACATTTCAGTTTGAGGCTCGATTTGGCCTTGGCCCCAGTGGTGTTCTCCGGATGTTTGTGATAGGAGGTCTTTGCTGTAACTGCTGACGCTCTGGGTGTCTACTAGGGAATTTCTCTTCAACGCCATCGAGACAATGCCTTGCGTAAAGAAGAAGGCAGATTGGGCCTTGCGTTGGATTGGGGACAAAGAGGCTACCTACGGTAAGGACCCCTCTAGCCCCGCGTCCCCCTGAGCTTCATCCTCTGAGTGCCGTCCCTGGTCTGTGGCCCCCCCTTGTGCGTGTGCTCGGTTGCTCGCTAGAACTATGTCGGTGTTAACTCTTCACAGGAGAACGGGTTGTGGCTTTTGCTGCTGTGGAAGGAATCTTCTTTTCTGGCTCTTTTGCGTCAATATTCTGGCTCAAGAAACGCGGCCTGATGCCTGGCCTCACGTTTTCCAATGAACTTATTAGCAGAGATGAGGTGAGTCTAATTCACATAACAGGTTAATGGGCACCCCAAACATCTACAACTCTTGGGTTCACTGATGGGAACTCCAGGTGAAAGATTGCCTGATATCCACATCTAACATGTGAGTTCAGCCATATCCGTACTTGGCAGAAAATGAAATACTTTAATTTACTGGAAGTGCTTGTGTTCTCAATACCTTTATATGTCTGATGCACCCTAGGTGATGGGGTGTTCTATTCTTTTTGCCCAGTATTCTGTATGACCCTACTGTACTTCAGAGTTGGGCGATAAGCATCCTAGTGAAGAATGAGAATCCATTCTGGTCCAGTTTATGTCTTTGGGTGCACTTGGATTAAACTGGAGGGGAAGGTGAAGATGTCCAGATGTTCTAATTTAATTCCAGTTGGCAAGGCCAGGGCCATGAACCCTGCCAAAGTTGGAGCCCAGTGGGCAGATCAGTTGGTCTTGCTTTATAATAAGAAGCTCTTCCTTCTGTTACAGGAAGATCAGGGTTACTTGGCACTAAGACTCGTAGACTCCATTCACTGGAAATTGCGTTACTGATTTCCCGAGCATTAGGCTGTAAATCTCACAACTAACTAGCCTGTTCACCGAGTTTTGCCTTCCCTGCTGGGAATAGTGGCAACACAGGAGCTCAGAGATGTAGGAAGAATGCTTTGAGCAGAAGTCCTTCCCCATCCTTGGCTACCACCCGGGGCAGCAGGGACCGGACCTGGCCTGCTGTTGTTCCCCAGAGGAGCAGTGTTGAGGGCCTTGGGTGCTGCTGAACCTGCCGTGACCTTCGCAGAGCAGATGGCAGTTGAAGTCCTCTCCCCCTTGACCGTTGAAGTGCTTAAAGCACTGCCACCCAAGGGGTAGGAGGAGAATGCAGAAAAGGGGAAAGTAATTTCCTGTTTCACCTTACCGATACAAGACTGGTTCTTTTTTTTTTTTTTTTTTTCCTTTTTAAAGGTTTGTTTATTTGTTTGACAGAGAGAGACACAGCGAGAGAGGGAACACAAGCAGGGGGAGTGGGAGAGGGAGAAGCAGGCTCCCCGCTGAGCAGGGAGCCCAATGTGGGACTCGAACCCAGGACCCTGGGATCGTGACCTGAGCTGAAGGCAGACGCTTAACGACTGAGCCACCCAGGCGCCCTGATACAAGTCTGGTTTTAATAGTGATCTTAAACCTTTTCTTCTAGGGTTTACACTGTGACTTTGCCTGCCTGATGTTCAAGCACCTGGTCCACAAACCTTCCGAGCAGAGAGTGAGGGAAATAATTATTAATGCCGTTCGGATAGAGCAGGTGGGTGTTGCATCAGGGTCTCTCGTGCCAGCTAGAAGGTGTCTTGATGCTTCCGTTTTATTGAGAAGCTCTGTTTTGGTCTCTAGGAGTTCCTCACGGAGGCCTTGCCTGTGAAGCTCATTGGGATGAATTGCATGTTAATGAAGCAGTATATTGAGTTCGTGGCAGACCGACTTATGCTGGAGCTAGGTTTTGGCAAGGTAAAGTATTGTTTATAGCCTTCTGGTTCTTCTGAAACTGGTGTTCCGTATTTAAATTTTCCTGTGAACCTTTTCAGGTTTTCAGAGTAGAAAATCCATTTGACTTTATGGAGAATATTTCACTGGAAGGGAAGACTAACTTCTTTGAGAAGAGAGTAGGCGAGTATCAGAGGATGGGAGTGATGTCAAGTCCAACAGAGAATTCTTTTACCTTGGATGCTGACTTCTAAGAGAAATGAAGATGTGCTCTTATTTTGCTGATTTTTTTTTTCCCCTTTCTCATCCAAAAAAAAAAAAAAAAAATCAGCTACTTGAAGTGTATCAAACCAGCTACACCATGAATTATCCATAATGTTCATTAATAGTATTGTTAAAACTGTGTAGCTACCTCATAAGCAAGCCTGTTGATTAGTGATGCTAGTTGTCTCACCTAGAAAGAAGCATAGACAAAAGCTCCTCGGATTCTTAGGAAAGACCTTGGCCGTGTTTGGCTTTTGCAGGCAGGCTGGCTGTCCGTGAGTTCACCGTGGCTCTTAGTGGCAGTCAGGGCTCAACATGCGTGGACCCTGGAGTGAGTCAGATCCGGCAGGATTAATCAGTCAGTCACTCAAAGGCCCTTGGGAGGCCTCAGCCTTGGCGCTTCAAAGCAGATTTTAAAGTTTACTTACTGATTTGTATATAAAACTGGCACTTTACATACAAATAAACAGAGTTTGTACTGTTGAAATAAAGGCCTGATTTAACCTAATTTGGTTTCTAGCCCACATGCAAAGCCTTCTATTGACCACTAATGGGAGCTGGTCTGGATTTTACTAGGTGGCTGAAGTCCGTCAAACCTGTGCAGATCGAGCACGTTATTTCTATTCTTTATTTTCTAGAATGGATGTGCTCTTTGATCAACTTCAAAGTTAGCCCTGCACATACCTAGGTATTAGCTAGATGGTGCCACAAAGAGGACAGGTTGTGGTTTGTATTTTGGAGGCCAGGTGGAGTGTTGTGGAATGAGAGCGAGGGGAAAGGAGCTTCGGACTTAAATCATTGGAGCTTGCAGTGTGATGCAGGCTGTCTGCTGGTCATCTGGGGAGTGAGAGGGGCAGCATCCTCTTATATTCCCCAACTTCAAGCTCTTAACGAAGATCTTTAGATCCTTAGCTATAGGATCTGAGATAATATTGTAAATTGATTTTCCAATCATCCTTGCGCAAAATGCCCCACTGAGGATCTTGCTCCAATTAAGTGGCACAACCAGGACTGACGTTGGCTCCCCGAAAAGCTGAGCATGTATTCCGATTTGGTTGAATTTGTAAGTAGGTACTGTTGCTCTATTTCATTTATATTTACTACATGTTTTTTAAATTAGAACTTTTTTTTTTTTTTTTTTTTTACTGTGTATGTCCTTTTATATCTGTGGTTCATAGTTTGAAATAATTGCCCAGTTAGTGCAGTTCATGATTGAAGCAGATAGAATTCAGTGCAGTTACTTCCAGCATCTGCCTCAATCTGAGCATTTATCTTATTGGATTCCTGACCTCCAGGAGAAAACTCGAGTTGCATGAGCTATATTAACACACGCTCTATTCACATTGTAATTTTAGATTGATAGTATAAGATAATATACTTAATAGGGCTAGTTTGAATCGACCTGCCTTTGTTTCCCCCTGCCTTCTCCTTTCCACGCTCCCCCCCCCCCAAAAAAAAAACCCAGCCCAGCCATGATGTTAGGTGGAAGGTGGTGGATGATACGCACTGATTCTTTGGCTGCATTTGTTAACCTGTTGTATTGTGTTGGCTGATCACTGGCCTGTTCTATTGTCAGTTTTTTCATTTATTGTATAAATTGTCAAATAGTCAATTTAACAATTTCTGTAACAGGGGCTTTCTATCTTTAAATTATTGTGACCTAAAGTAAATCCAGATTATGTGGTTCTTACACTTGTGCAACACAAAAGTGAATAAACGTTTTTGCCTCGCGTGTCAGGTGCCGGTGGAAGTCGGAAGTCGATTTTAGGATTCGGCCTCCCCGTTAGTGCGTTAACAGAAGGATTCATTTCTGCCAACTCCAGTTCTGTTTCCCGATCTGTCAAAGAGAAGCAGATTTTAGTCAAGCATTTCAAAGTCTAAAAACTGAATGCAGCACAGGGGTTAAATGAACTGTTCTTATGTCCGTTCCTTGATAAATTAATTTGCATTTCAGTTTAGGAAGAAAAAAACGAGAAAGTCTTTTTCATGAAGGCGTATGCGTTCATTTGCTTTTCCTCCATTTGGGGGAGAGGACTTCGCTAATGCCTGAGACGTGATGAACAAGAGTGTGCCCTGTGCTTCTCCTGGAGTTTGTGGGCCAGGGTCAAGGGGGCTTAAGTTCCCAACCCCCCCCCTGGGTGAGCTGCTACCCCGCCTCCATTTTCCCAGCTGTTAAACGATGGGGGTGGGGACCAGATGGGGCTAAAGGTCTTCCCCGCTTTGCTCTTCCTCATCAAATTGAGCTGCGTGGACTTCTTTATGGCCTTGGATTGGCCCCTCTGTCTATAAATGGCCTTTCCTGGCCCACCTTCCTAAAGCCTTTTTGAAATCCTGGCCTTGTATATCCTGCCACTTTGGATATGCAGGTGTCTGTGACGACCAGCTGCCGGGCAGGCACTGTTCAGAGGTGCCGGAGGTGCGGCTGGGGGCCTAGCCGTCCCTGTGCAGCTTACGTTCTCAAGGAGGGAGCTGATGCGTGAGTGAACCTGTTAGACAGTGAGCCAGAGCAGGCAAGGAGCAGTGGAGAACTTGAGGTGGATGGGAGCACTTAGGAGAGGTGTAGGTGCCGGAGGTGGGGGGTGACCTTGTTTCTCTGTGGAGGGGGGGGGGGGCTAAACCAGATTCCCTCCCTGCTCTTCCTGCAAAGGCTCACAAAGAACGGACGCCCACGTCCGTATCCATCCCCGTCTTAGCATGAGGCCCCCAAGGATCAGGCCCTGGTGAATGAGGAAATTAATTGGAGCTGAGTATTTTGGGGTGGGTAATGTCTGGGGAGCAGGTGTGTTCTGTGTCTCAGAGGAACCTAGCAGAGATCTTTGCCTTTATACCCCAAGGGCACGCTGAATGTCATTTGATTTATGTCAGGTTGGGGTAGCCATGCTCTCAGGATCAACTCTGAACAGCCTCCCTGTGGGCCCCCTACAGTCCTGCTTCCCCTGCCATCCACCTGTGCGAGCTGCCCACCCTAGAGCACGCTTCCCGCACTTCACTTACTGGACCTGCGTCAGCCAAGTGTGGTTAAGTCATGCGGTCAGAATTGTCTGCTTGCCTGTGATCCGACTTGGGTGCTGGCTCCTTGCACAGCTGGAACTGGATGGGTATTAAGGCCGTCGGGCCAGGGAGCTGACTGGCTGTTCGTGTGCCAGTGAGGATGAATAGCTCTGTCACTGTTGGTCTGGAGATCCTGATAGTGGTTTAATCCCGCATAGCAATACGGTTCCCTGGGGAGCGGCTGTAGCTTTGAGGGAACAGGATTGTATGTATGGCTTGGCGTGTTCTGAGAGAAGGCTGATAGCATACCCCATCATCTCGCCGGCCCCCCCCACTTCTGTAGAGGAGGCTACTCTGGTGTACTCTGGGTACTTGAGAAAGAATGTGATCCCCTGCCGTTCCTGGGAGCGGATTCGCACATCTGGATGTTTGCTGATGAGAGTAGCTGAACCCACTGCGGATGTAAGGTTCAGGAACCACAGTCCCCTTGGCCTGGCTCTAAGGACTGGAGTGGTTCCAGCAAGAGAGGGGACTGAGGTGACCCGAACAGCCTCCCAGCTTCAAACACCTGCCAGTGATCACGAAAGTTAAGTGGGTATTGATTTCCTAAGAAAGAGGAATTTTCAGATGCTGGGAACAAAGACAGGGACTGGGAAAGCTTGGGCTCATTGTAGCCCTGGGGGTTGGTTATTCATCTCTTGGAGAACTTCCTGTTACGATGATAGATGATATAATGGGATCAGAAGGGAAAAAATGAAAACCCTAAGAACAGCATATTCTAAAGAAGTGGGCAGATTTTTTAAAAACTTCCTACAATTTCTAGGAATATAACAAAACTACTGGAATTAAATATTTTGGAACTTAAGAAAAAGATGCTTAGTAGGAGGAGACACAACTGAGGGTGAATTGGTGATGGGAAGGGACCTGATGGAATTATCCAGAAGTAGATGGGGGAGAGAAGTGGAGGATGAAAGGGGGTGCATGTTATTTTTAAAGGAAGTCTTACCGTGAGGGACTGGATAGCTAATGTTTAAAGAGATAATGACTGATGATAATGTTCTAGAAGCGACTAAATCAGAAAGTGCAAGGAATCCCAAGTCAGATAAATGAAAATAAATCCATACCTAGGCTCATTTGTAGTGAATCTGCAGAGCATATGGACAAAGGTCATTCAAGTTTACAGGAATGGTAGATCTATAAAGGAGTAATTATTAGGCAGAAATTCTCAACAGCACTACAGTCAAAGCCAAAGGTTATGGAAGCAAATCTTGAGATGCTAAGAAAATAAACTTACTTAGAAGTAAGATTTCCAAGTTCATTCATACCCCCTCTTCAAAAGAAGGACTAAAGAATACACTTTAAGGAGAAAATTGAATCAAAAGGAGGGTAGTGAGCAAAGAAATGGGTTGCCGTGTAGTGAATCTAATCATGGATAAAATCAAGTGGACCCAGAATACTGGACAACATAGCAGGGAGGCAGTGGGGGCAGGTCCTCCTGCCGTAAATAAGAGTGGGCTAGCGGGTTCACCAGATATGTGAAGAGTCTACAGTCCTGCTTACAAGAACACAACAGAGTGTGTCACTTTCAAAGTGGTGGCAGAGAAGGGGTATTGAACAGGTGATCGGTCTAATAGGCAAAAAAGATGAGAAAAAGCAGAGAGTGGTAAATGGAAATCCTGATAAGATCAAGAAGCCCAATAAATGCAGGTAGACTAACCAGTTAAATCACAGAAGCTTAAGATTCGATGAGAAGAACTCTAGCTAGAAGC